AAATCTGCTGGTGGAGGGAGAGCTCCTGGGAAATATTTTCCTGCCTCACTCTACTCCCCTCTTCTAGACTTGAATGCTGGCCTGTGAGATGATGTTTGGAGCTGTGGCAGCCGTCTTGCTACCATGGGGCAAGAAGCTAAGGTAAAAGACCAACATAGCTGAGGATGATAAACAGGGAAGAGGAAAAGGCCCTGATTTGTTGTCATCACTGAGCATCTGACCAGCCCCAGAACTGCCTCTCTCCAGACATCTTTTTGCTCATGATCATTACATGTCTCTGTTGCTTGAGTCATTGTTGGATTTTCTGTTACAAGCTGCCCAACACAGTCCAACTGAGGAAAGCACCTACTATGTGCCCAGCACACATCTCTCATAAGAGTCATGGCCATTCAACTACATCCCATCTCTGCCGTCAAACCCTGGGGTCCGAGAGGGAGAGGTTGTGTTTTGTAGGTCTCTGTAACCCCAGAGCTTCATACGGATCATGACCCACAGTGGGCCCCAAATACCACAGTACAAATAACATGAATGGATGGGTGAATTAAGGAGCAAATGAAGTTCTTTGCCAACTGTGAAGTGCTGGGCCCAAATGCAGGATTCAGATCTGAAATGGTGGGAGGAGGTGAAGAATGGAAGAGGGACAGGGTGGAGAGCGGGGATTAGAGGAAAAGCAGCAGTCCCCGGCTCCAGCAGGGGTGAGGCACGGCCATCCTCCCGGACTCCCCCTGCCCCTCCCCCCTGCTGCACAGACCACAGCCGCCAGGTCCGTGAATCCCCCGCCGACCCCGCGCGCAGGCCTCCCCTGGGCTGCTGAGCCTCTGACGGCAAGTGCCTCTCTCCCCAGGCAGACGCCAAGAGGCAGGCTTCGTGCTCTGTCATTTTCTCCCTAAAATTGTCCTGAGAAACCAGTGGTTACCATGACCCCAGCCACGCTTTGCTGAGTTATTCTGTAAGAGGCCAAGGACGAGGCGCCAGAAGAGGAGGCCGCGGGAAAATGAGGACCCAACATGCAGGGTGAACAGGTTTGAAAATTTCAGCTCCAAGTTTCGCAGCGAGACTGGATTAAAGGGTCGTTTCAAATGAATTTTGCCATCAGAGTAAGAGATCTGTCTTCCCCAAAATGCTTTACTTTGACAGCTGACTTCAAGAGGTTTGACAGAATTCATTTTTCCAACCGACAAAAGATCAGGGTTTAAACAAAACGCATTCCATTGTGAGAACTCTCGATGTGTTCCATCCAGAATTGAGTGTCTGGACTCATTCTTCCCTCTTTCCTTCTTGGCTTCCTACACTGGTGAGAGGTGAGGCCGGTAAGGGCCCCAGGGCTCTCTGCTGCCAATGCCCCAGATGACCATGGGAAGGGAGGGGACTGGAAGGGGCTGTCAGGGGTCCACGGGGACATGACCAAGAGTAAACAGGAGAGGCCAGGGGAGGGAAGGCGGGGAAGGAGGGAGAGTGAAGGGGGTCCCCGAGCCTGAGGGCCTGGGGGACTCAAACGGGCAGAGCTGAGGACAGAGCAGGTTGGGGAGGGGTCAGGGAGGCGGCTGGGCCACACCTTCTGGTCACCAGAGCCGGCCTCTGACGGGCTGGGCGTGCTGGTCCCCTTCTGCTGCAGGCACTGCTGGGCCACAGGGAAAGCCGCGAGGAGAAGTCCTGGATTGGTGACAGACTCTGCTCCTGATCAGTGACGGATCCTCAATCCTCATTAGGACTAATTACGCCAGGTAATGACGTGTCCGCATAAACTCCCAGGAGGGCTGAGGAGGCCCAGTGGACCATGGGAGGTCCCCACCCGGTCCCTGGGACCATCCACGTAGACCCGGGAGGCGCATCTGCAGGCTGGGGACTTTGGAGTCAGCAAACCGAGGTCTCTATCCTGGCTGTGGCCGGTTACTAGCCCTGGGACTTTGGGCTTCATCTGGCTGAGCCTGTTTCCTCAGCTGGAAAAGGGGCCAACACCGACACCTCCTTCAGAGCTTCGATGACTACATGACAGAGCATGCTTCGGAGGGCTCCATCCTGACCTGGGAGCGAGTGCTCAGCAAACCAGGCCCCCTCTGCTGCCTCCCCCCCGCTCACCCCGCCTTCCCTGATTCCAGCACACATGTCAGTATAACAAGAACGGGCCCTCCTGCGCCCCTCTTGCCCTGTGCTCAGCTCTGCATACCCGTTTTCTCATTTATTCTCTTGGTCTGCTGTAGGTTATGCTATTGGCCCCATTTTACAGATGCGGACACTGAGGCCCAGAGAGTAAAGTAATGTGAAAAGTCACACAGCTATAGGAGGTCAGACCCAGGGCACAGACCCCAGTCTAAATGATGACATGAATTCCTGCTTTCTCCCACACACCTTTCCCAGGCCTTCCCCGTGGCTCAGGCCTTACTTTGCTTTCCAGTTGCGGCAGGCAGACCGTGTGGGAGCTGACTCTGAGCAGAAGGGTGGCTTCAGATCTGGACAGCGACCCCCACCTCCTTCCCTAGTAAATAGAGCATCAGCATCACCCCAGCCCATGCCTGTATCTGATGGGCCCGAGCCCCATCCAGGCCTCCCCACCACCATGGCATCTCTGGGTGCATTAAATGGGTGATTTATGGGCCTGACATGTAAGTTTGTATGAGCTGCACCCAGGTCGGCTTTAATGGCTCCCATTTAAGATTTTACCTGTGAATAGCTCCTTCCCCTCAGAGAGACCCGGGTGCTCCGTGCTCATCAATTACCCAGAGGTGGTGACAGCCAGCCCCAGACCTGTCACCTCACACCTGGGCCTGAAGGAGGCAGGACCCTGGACTGTGCCAGGCTGGCTGAAGTCTCCCCTGGTGCCCCTGGCCCACATTCCCCCTTCAGGTTCATGGTTGAGAGCTAGACTGTGGAGCAAGAACCCCTGGGCCCAAACCCCAGCTGTGTGACCTTGGACAGAAACCTGACCCCTCTGGGACCAGTCTGCCCACCTGAAAGTGGAAATACGTTAGTTATTGTTATTGTTACCAATGCCCCCTCCCCCTTCTCTCTTCCCTCACCCCCAGCCCACTGCGTCCCTCCTCAGGGACCCACACCTTGCTCCTGGACACCTGCCCCCAGCCCCCGGGGGGCACTGGCTCACAAAGGCCTTCGGGTGAGACCCCAGGGATGGTGGCCTTTCTCAGGAGCTTCTGGAAACAGGAGCAGCCTTCGAGGCCCAAAGGGATGTGTTCCTCAGAAGGAGCAACTCCCACAGTCTCCTTCAGGGACGGACCAGCTGACAGTTCTGATGTCGAGGGGCCTCTCATGGTGTTCTTCAGGAGTGAGGACACAGCGGTCACCGAGGAGCCACGGAGAGCCGGGTGTTGGGGCAGGGCAGCTCTGGCAACTGGAGTGACGAAGCCCATTTCCCAGATGCGAGGACAGGGGCTCCAGGAAGGGAAGCGCCTGCCCGAGGTCACACAATAGCAGCCAAGTCAGCATTCCCCAGTCGGGGCTGTGACTCTAAATTCTAAAATCTTTCTGCTGCACCACCTTGAGGGGCCCTGGGTGACGTCGGTGTGACACGGCCAGGCCGGCTGCCAGGACACCAGGCAAAGAGGCAAGCATGAAGCCAGCATCGTCCCCCTGCTCACCCAGGGCAGCTCAGAGCCCCGCCCACGGCGACCGCCGCCGCCACCGCCCACTCCAGGAGCCCACGGTCGTGAGAGCTACCTGTCTCCTTTCCTGCGCTAGGACCAGGCCCAGCAGGGTCCCCACGGCTGCTCCTGCAGGCGCCACAGGGGAGCCCGACCTGGGCCTGAGCTGGGCCCGGAACACACAGACACTCACCTGAGCTCTGGGCCACCTGGGAAGGCTTGTGTCCCATGGGCAAGGCCAACCCGACCCCCACTGCGGGCCCTTTCCTTGGGCGGCCGTGAGGTCCGGGACTCCCTAGACAGCCTGCCCATCTCCCGCCAGGCTGCACACCGCCCAGAGCCTGCTGCCTTCCAATGAGCCCGCCACTTCCTACCTGCCTGTGCCGCTCCCACCAGCCTGCTCACCCCCTGCCATGTCCCGCTCACTACCAGTTTGCCCGCCTCCTAGCAGCCTGCCTACCTCCCATCCACCTGCTCACCTCCTACCCGCCTGCTCACCTACGTGCCGCCCACCTCCCAACGGCTGACTCACCTTCTACCGACCTGCCCACCTCCTCCCCCCAGCCTACCTCCCCCTGCCCACCTCCCCCCTGCCTGCTCCTCTCCCACCACCCTACGCCCCTCCTACCAGCGCTCACCTCTGACCAGTCTCCGGAGTGACTGTGCGTTCTTTCATTCAGCAATTATTCTAGGACATACAGAGATAAATAAAATAAATGTTCACGGAGGCAACAGGATCGTTCTCTCTCTCCCCCAGTCCCAAGGCCTCTTCCCCCCGCATCAGCTCGCCCCTGAACCTTCCCGCAGCCTCCTCGGCATCTCTGGTTGCTGCTCCCACCCCACCATCCTTTCCTGACCAGTGCCCAAGAGAGCGGTTCACTGCAGCGATCGCCTTGTGCCTCCCTCACTTCAAACAGTCAGGGGCTCCCCAGTGCTCTGGGGATGGAGACCCAGATGCTCCCGCCCTGCACCTCCTCCACCTCGCAGGGAGGGCTCTGCGCTGCCCCCCACCCCCCAGGTCTCGGGTCTTCTCCGAGGCCATGGCTCGAGCTCTGGCCAGTGCCTCTCGCTCTCCTCCTGAGCTGAACCTACGGTTCGGTCCCATCCAGGGCATCCTTGCTGACCCTGCATGCACGGAGCGCCCACAGGGGCTGCGCCAAGACTCTGTTTGCTCAGGAGGGACCCCACATCCCTTCCAGGCCCCCTCCCGCAGCCAGCCCTGCCCCTCCTGGGCCCACACAAATGCTGGGGGTCCCGCTGCTTGGGAACATTGGTATCGATCACGAGACACAGGCTATAAAGTCAGATCTTTTGTGTATTTTCAATGGGCAGGTGCCACGAAGCCACTGGAATTTCAAAGATTCCGGGAAGGGAGGAAACACTCAGACAAAAAGTAGTGGGAGGGAAGAAAGAAACAAGGCTGTGTCAGGGAGATTAATCCATCGCTCAGACATGACAGAAATATGCTCAATTATTTTGTATTGCATTTCATTGGAATGTACATGCCGTACTTAGCTGCCTGCGAGCCTCAGATTACCCAGAGAGAAAGCCCCGTGAAAGACAGGGAGAATAAAAATACTGACAAAAATGTTCCTGAAATTGGAATTATTTGGAGAGAAATAGAAGCCGGACTTGAAATAAAAGAGGCTGCTCGGCACGACGGAGGCCTTCGGCACAGGTGCCTGGTCCCCCGGCCAGATCAGCCAGAGTCGGTGGGTCCAGCCTGTCCTCCTGGACCTGCCACCGAGGTGCTGTGTGACTTTGGGCAGGCCACTGCCCCTCTCTGAGCCTCATTCTCCATAAGTCCTGTGGGGCTTCTCAACAGCAACACTATTGACATTTGGAGCTGGATACTTCTTTGTTGTGGGGACTGTCCTGCGCACTCAGTGGCATCCCTGGCCTCTACCCACTGTCTGGGCTCCTACCACCATTGCTCCAACTGGGGCAATCAAAAATGTCAGGCGCCTGGGTGGCTCAGTCGTTAAGCGTCTGCCTTCGGCTCAGGTCATGATCCCAGGGTCCTGGGATCGAGTCCCACATCGGGCTCCCTGCTCCGCGGGGAAGCCTGCTTCTCCCTCTTCCACTCCCCCTGCTTGTGTTCCCTCTCTCGCTGTGTATCTCTCTGTCAAATAAATAAATAAAATCTTTAAAAAAAAATGTCTCCAGACTTTGCCAAATGTCCCCTGAAAAGCAAAATCTCTTCTGGTTGACAAATTTGAACCAGGTGTCGTCTGAGTTCATGTGGGAAAGGGCAGAGCAAGAAGGGGGTCACAGTGGACCCCAAGCCAGGGCCAAGGAGGCCCCAGAGACTTCCTTAGGGGGCTATGACACTAGCTGAGCTTGTTGATGAATCTAGGTCAACGTGTACCGAAGGAATCAGGGCTGTCAGGCTGGGGACAGTGAAAAGTGAGCATAAGGGGATCCCAGTACCTCCTCCTCTCCCTTCCAGCTCCTTCCCTTGGCCCTGGGAACCCCGCCCCTGAGCCCTCTGCTCCCCCCCACCCCATCAAAACCCCTGTCCCTGCAGCAGCATGATTGGCTGAGTGGGGAAGTGCAGGTGCCTGGGCCTCCGGGACAACATCTTCTATTTTCAGAGGAAGGAGATCCTGGAGGGAAGGGCCTTTGGGACCTTGCAGTTTCTGGCCCTGGTTCCACCCACTCTTAGAGTTCTAACTGTGAGAGGGTGGCCCAGGCAGAGAAGCGGGGATGGGACCCCATGCTGTGTATGAAAGCCAGAGAGACGGAGAGGGGCCAGCCTCAGTGATGGCACCCAGGGGGAGGCGGCTCCGACCCGCACCTTCAAGCCTGACACCAGCACTGCGGCTTCCTCAGCTGCCCAGAGCAGGCGTGGGGCTCCCAGGCGGGCTCTGCAGGCGGTGGGGAACCAAGCCCAGCCCAGAGCCGAAAGGGCCGGCAGCCCAGCTAAGGCCCCACCACATCAGGTGTCAATAAAAACACACTGACATGCAATCGTGTTTCATCCAGCAAATATTCACTGAGCATCTACTACGTGCCGAGCTCCGTGCTAGGCACTTGCAGCAGCAAGGGACAGAACACAAACCTCTCTTGTGGAGCTCATATTCAAAGCCCCCTGCCAGCGGCAAATGGCAGCCAACATTTATTGAGCACTTGCTGGGTGCCGAGCACAGCACTAAGCACTTTGCAGGACCCATCTCTGAGCTAGGAATTGCGTCCCCATTTTAGAGAGGAGAAAATCGAGGCTTCGAGAGGTTAAGTAGCTTACCACTGTTCTTCTCATTCTCACTGTTAACTCAGACGGAAGCAACTCCGTCAGCACCCCCCGCCCCGCCCAACCGGATCCTCAGCAGCTGAGGTATCACCCTGCCGGTAGGCCTGGCTGAGCCTTCGGAGTGCCTGACAGTCACCACTGACAGTCACTGAGCAGGGCTCACCGGGCACCCTCCCCACACTCACCCTTCACATGCCTCACCTCGGTGAACCTTCACAGAGATCAGGAAGGGGGACAGATCACCCCCACTGCACAGATGAGGAACCTGAGGAGCCTGACCAGAGGTCACCGGCCAATAAGTATGAAGTCTGCACTCCTGAGTGCTTGGTGCTCATCTAGTCCAGACACCCACAGACACGGAGAAGCCAGCCAGAGACTCCTGGAAGGGGCTCCTCTGGACTCGGGGATTCCCCAGGGGTTCCCTGCTTTCCAGCTGGGGAAACTGATCCCAGAGCGGGAAAACTACTGATTTGTCATCAAAAAGCTGGTGAGGAACAGATTTGGGATTTGGATCGAGTCCTCACCTCGGACCCCACGTTCTCCCATCACACTAGTCCATCCAACCTGTCGAAGGGGCACTGAACAGGGAAGCAGGGAGCCTGGGCCTCCAGCCAGAACAGTAGGTCATGAACTGATGTGAGCTTTGCCCATTCCTGAGTGCGCTCCCCACCTTTGTACGTGGTGTTCCTGGGGGTGCACTCCCCTCCTACCGGCCCAGTGTTTAAACAGACCCAGGTTCAAGTTCTGCAACTCCCTGCTGCACAACCTCGGGCAAGTTGTTCAGCCTCAGTGACTCCGGCCTCCTCACTGCGACACGGGACCAACAGTCCTGCGTCAGAATGAAATGAGATGGGGCAGGCAGCGCCTGGCCAGAGGAAGCGCGCAGTGTATGTGTGTTGTTATGATTCCACACCTGCCCTCCATCATTTCAAAACAGCTCAGGCACACCTGCTGGCATGGCTGTTGACTGCCCAGCTCTGGGGAGAGCCATCCATGTCATCGCACAGGGGTGAGTTGTGTAGTACACAGCCTGGGCAACAGGACATTGTGGCCCTCGATTCTGGGAAGCTTCTCCTGACTGGCCCGGCTTGGTCAGGGGCCACTCCCTCCTCTGTCGCATCCCCTCTCCTCACCAGACTGTGAGCTCCGTGAAGACAGGGACCTTGTCTTACCCACCCCGGTGTCCCCGGGCCCAGCTCAGAACCTGGTCCCCCGTGGGGCAGACACCAGCAGCCATTTACTAATTTCAGGAATTGCCAGCAACCATTCCCACAACTAGTAAACAGCCGAGCAGGGATTTATGCCTGAATTTCAGCTCCAAGGTTCCTCACTGCGGTCCAGCAAGGTCAAGTAGCTGAGTAGTTAAACCTACTCTACGTTGACACTTGCAAAGCCAGACATCTGAAGGTAGCCAATTAGACAGGCCCAGGGTCCAAATGTACAATCCCCGCTTCTCATCGCCAAGTACGTGGCCCGGCGAGACCCTTGTCCCCTCCCCCCTCCCCGGGTCAGGACGGGCCAAGATCTCTAGGAGACACAGTGAGGGTTTCTGCCTCAAACATACTGACTTCTTTGGAATTGCTCAAGGTGTGAAGGCTTATTTTTTAGGCCATATCGAAATGCTCTGATATCGCCCCAAACAGCACATCAGACGCTCCTGCTAGCCAACCAAGAGAGAAAAATGTCACAAACATGGGGCACAAACAGGGGTGATGAGCTGCAGACCCCGACCAGCAGGAACGGGGAGCTCTGGGAGCGGGAGAGCCTCGGCCTTCTCCCCCACCCCCATCCCCTAAGGGTTGTGCAGGGCTCGGGGCTGGGCACCTGCTCACCTTGGGCGTTTTGCTTTTGTCCGTCGCTGGCTCCTTATGACGCCGCCGGAGGCAAATGCCCCAGGAAGGGGGCGTCAGGCTCAGGTGGCCTTTGGGGGCAGCTGGCGTGTCTGTGCTGGGCCCTGAGCTGTGCTCGAGGTTGTAGGGATGCCGGATGCTTTCCTGTGAGGTGGGGGCAGGGGGAGGAAGACGTCAACCAGGTCGAGGGAGGGACCTCCAAGCTTGCGGCTGATTGTCCATCTGCTGTGTCATGGGCCCTGTTCTAAGGACTTATTTGTATTAACTCACTAAATCCTCACAACTACCCCCACGAGTGCGAGGTAGATACTACTATTCCCATCTTACAGATGAGGAAATTGAGGCACCTGATCATCATCCAGTAAATGGCAGGGCCAGGTTTCAGGCTGGAGGGTCTGGCCCCCTTCATGCCATGAGCAGGGAGAGGGAACAGTAGTTACAAAGGCTCAGAGGCGAGAGCGAGGGGATGGCGGACTCAGGACCTGGAAGCAGCTCAGACTGGCCTGGAGGGACAAGGTGGGGAGCTGGGAGCTGGCCCATGGAGGGCCAGGCGCCGAGTTAGGGAGTGTGGACCCCCAGAGTCACTGCCCTGGGCAGGAGGACAGGGACAAAGGTTTGCCCGCCCCATGCTGGGTGGGTGACTCTTCTGTGCATCTGACCCACCCCCGGGGGCTCTGTCATCGTTATCTCTGGGCCCCCAGACCCGGGCACAGGAGGGGCATGAAGCACGTGCTGAACTGAACTGACTGAAGGTCATTTGTTTTCTCCCCCATCATGCTCAGCCCTGGGCAGGCACCTCGGGGCTGAGACGCAAGGCCCTGCCCTGGTTTCTGACTCATGGTGGGGCTCCTTTCCACCCCCACCTTCAAATGTAGATGGGGCCTGTGACCTGCTCTGGCCAAGGAGATGTGAGAGGCTGTGTCTGTCACTTGGAGGGAACTTTAAGAGCCAAGCGCCCAGTGGGCTGAGATGGTCAAAGAACCCTGTGTCAGCCCAGAGTGACACTGGTGAGCCCTGGCGACCCACCCTGAGCGTGTCAGTGCCAAGAGAGGGACTTCCTCTTGTGTTGGGGATGCTGTGGCTGGAGCCCAGCCCAGACCTTCCAACTGATGTCACTGCTGGAACCATGTCACCCTAGAAGGTACACATGACTGTGAGGAGGGGCGAGACCGGTGCTCCCCAGCCTCCAGACCCCCTCCACCCATGGATGCCGGTCCCTGTGGGACAGGCCACTCAACACGTCCCCAGTCATAGGGGTGGGAGGGTCCTGTCAGCATCGGGAGGCCAACTCCCTCAGTTCTGACTCACCCAGACCTGGGCCAGACTGGCATGTTTTGTTCCGATGTGCGGATCACCCAAGAGCCTCTGGGCTCTTTACTCCTCTCTGTTTCCTCATCCAGACTTCTCACGTGTCATCTAATGTGGCCTCAGTGGGATGTCACAACAGAGAACCCAGATGTCCCCAGTGAGGTATTGATGTTATCTTTACAATAACAAGGGTCCGAAGGCTCTCACCTGATGCTAAGATACATGAAACTGGATTCTTGATAAAAAAAAAAAAAGGATCGGGCGCCTGGGTGGCTCAGTCGTTAAGCGTCTGCCTTCGGCTCAGGTCATGATCCCAGGGTCCTGGGATCGAGCCCCACATCAGGCTCCCTGCTCCGCGGGAAGCCTGCTTCTCCCTCTCCCATTCCCCCTGCTTGTGTTCCTGCTCTCGCTATCTCTCTCTCTGTCAAATAAATAAATAAAATCTTAAAAAAAAAAAGGCATCAAGAAATATTTCTATCTGGAAATCAATGAAAATTCATGAAAACATATTACTTGCTAAGTAATAAGGCAGGACAAGTCCATAGAACTGAGTAATGGCAGAGGAGGAAAGTCTCAACTCTTCCCCCAATTACAGGATCTAAGACATCAAGTTGACAAAACAATAATATTGAAATATTGGAAAACATGCAACTGCCTAATAAAAGACACAGAAAACCAGCTAACATGATAATGAGTGGTACCCAAGAATATCAGAGCCTGCAGCCAGGCCTGAGCATTTTCTAGCCCCATAAGCAATTCCCAAAGGCTCTCCCTGTTGCCCCCAAGATGAACCTTGTCCCTGAGGTCTGGCCCTCCCAGCCTATGCTCAGTGGCATGGAGTTCCATGTCCCCAGCACTGTCCCTTCAACCTGGGCCCCAAATCCAACCAGTCTTTTTAGCCCCAAGCATAGTGCATCACCCCTGAGGAGTTCCTTGGACCACCCAGGTCCCCACCATCACCCCCAGCTCTGGGCTCGGCCCATCCATCTCGCTGAACCAGCCCATCCAAATCATTGTCTTATTTAGAAACACCATGGGGGCAGTACATGGCCATGGGTTCCAGCTTGGACCTCGGAGTCAAAGACCTGGGCTTATACCCCCGCTTGTGTGTGACCTGAGCCAACCTGCTTTGCCAGTCTGAGCCTCAGTTTCCTCACCTGTAAGGTGGGAAGATAATAATACTACCCTCATGGGATTGTCGTAGGGCTAAATGACTTCTTATATGTAAAGTATTTACAATATGCCTGGCATAGAATAGTCATTCGGGAACGTCTGCGGTCTTTATCGTGCTCCCCATCTTACAAAGGAAGAAACTGAGGAGCAAAGAGGGGACATGTCCTCACAGCCAGTGACGCAGCCAGGCCAGGAATCAGATTCGGTGTCATGACTTCCTCTCTAAGCACCAGTGGGTGGGGGATGGGGGGGGAGACGCTTTATCCACCAGCTTCATCAGCACGGAGCCCCTCCTCCAACCCAAGCCCACACAGGGCCAGACCCGCAGCTGCTGCCCTGGCCGGGCGGGCCACCCGGGAGAAGGGGGTCGGTAAGCACCCTGATGACTGACCACATGCCCCACACAGTACGAAGCATTGGCCATCACTCTATTCCCACTTCAAAGAGGAGCAAACTGAGGCTCAGAGGCGCTAAGGCACACGCCCAGGATCACACAGACGATGGCCATCAGAGTCAGCTCTCTACCTGGGATCCGTCGCCCTGGGACCCTTCCACACATCCCACCCCCATGTGGCATCTCATCTCATCCCGCAGCCTCCTGTTTCACAGGCAAGGAAACTGAGGCCCAGGGTGTGCATGGAGCTAACCTGAGGTCCCGCAGCCAGCAGGTGGAAGCAGCCCATGGAATTCTGATCCAGGGCTCCCTTTCCCAAACCCACAGAGAAGGTGGTTCCCTCCTCCCTTCCTTGTTTGAAGCCTGCAGGGGACCCAGGGCCCACCTGGGGAAGGAGGTTGCAGGACAGGCGCCGGCTGGGGGCTGTGGGGAGGATAGGTCCCCGGAGATCACCCCTGAGTTCTAAAGTTGCCAGGACTCTGCCGACTTCATCCTTTGCAAACCGGAGCCTCCTCTGAGCCAGGAGGGGAGGGGAGGGGAGGCCACCTTCTCTCCACCGGGCCCCTTGCATCTGCAGAGCTGGGCACATGTTCCAGACGCAGCAGTTCTGTCTCTGAGGCCCCAGACGAGCCCCACAAAGATGGGTTTTCCTTACCTCATTATTTTCCCTCTAGGAGGCCTGGGTGGGTCAGTCACTTCCTGCCCACTGCGGGGGCTCAGATTCCCACCAGGCTGCAAGCGCGTTCTAGAAGTTTATAGTTCCATCCTCCTCCCCCTGGAAATCAATTGGAAACCCGGGTGGTGGCTAACTCCACCCAAGTCCAGTGGTTCATGAATCAAAGGCCTCTTCTGGGCTCTGCTGGGCTGGCTGAGGCTCCGTCTCCCCAGACCCGGCTTCTATGCCGGGTCCGGGAGCCACGGGACCCCCGGGGGCCAGGCCCAGAGAGCCATGCAGCGGGAACACCTCAAATGCCAAACCCCAAAGATGAGCAGTTGCTGTCCCAGCCTGCCTTGGGGCACCAGCAACCCCACACTGAATGCTCTCACCACCCAGGAGGAGGAAAATTGCAGGGCAGCGTGCAGAGACAGAAGCCGCCCTGGTCCGAGCTTTCCCTCAGGCAGGTCTCTGCCCAGAAACAAGCTCTTGTCAAGCACCTGGCCCAGAGAACGCCCCCTTCTGGAGTCACCCAGGAATTTGCCTCAAAGTCCCATTGCCCTGCAAAGCCTGAAGGCTGAGGGCCGTGCCTCCTCCAGGCAGGGATCCAGGAGAGTTCATTCCCGGCTTTCTTCCCTGGGTCATCTGGAGAGCTATGTGGTGCTGGCAGGGGGCCCCAAGGTTAGGTGCTCTCACCATGCACACCATGGGGCACCTGCACGCCCCCATCACGGAGGGCCCCCGTAGGAGCAGTGGAATTCTGTTCTGGAACACCTGCTCATCCATCCAGCCTACTCCCCATCTTTCCGCAGTTCCAGCCCCATCCTCCTACAGACCAGATCCAGTCCACTCCAACCTCACCAAACCGCACATTGTTCCTGAAGCCCAGCACTCTGTTCCCTCTGTGGGCATTCCCTGCCCATCGCTGAGCTCCGCGAGAGGAGGAACCTGCCACCAGGTACACCCAGGGCGCTCCTGGGACTTCCTGGTGGATGCTCAGTGTCCATTTGTGAACAAATGAATGGTGATCAGGTGCAGAGACCATGCGGGCACTTCCTGTGAAGGAACTTGGTCCCCAACCACCGTCCTCACAATGCCAGTAACAGCCCCTCAGGTGGGCCCAGACTAGAGTTAAGGCATTTTCCCTCCATTCCTCATTATTAATAAAGCCCACTCCCCTAGAAGCCTGCGGCCATTCCCTTTGAGCCTTACTCTCTGCTGGGCTCTTATTAATAAAGATTTAGCATCCAGACTGAAGGAGGCGAAGGTCCTGACAGAGGATGCTCTCTGTTCTGGGTTTAAGGTGGACCCAGGCTCTTGGGGCCACGTACCCAGGATGGGACTGTAGGGTAGCAGGAAACCCACCCCCGTACCTCACCCCCCTTCTCCCAGCCCAGAGTAGGGCCCCAGGCAGCTTGGCATTACCTTGTTTCCTCACAGCCAGTGGGGCGGTAACGGCTGCTGGTCCTGGATCTTCGGGACTGGTCTGGTTGAAGTGACAGAAATCCAGCTTGCCCTGACTGATAGCAGGAAGGCTGGAACAACGAGGTGCAGCAGGGCCCACCGGGGGCCAGGGGCCGCTAGGCTCCGCCTCTTACCTCCGCATTGGCTGCTTCCACCAGCTGAAAACTCAGGGCCCAACAGTTGCTGGAAGTCACATCTTCAGTCCCAGAAAGGGACCGACTTTCTCACTGCAGTTTCGGTGACTGAGGCCAAGGGCATCGGGCCCGCACTGGCTTAGCTCTGGTCAGGAGACCACCTTTGTCGACCAATGAGTCCTGGCCAGGGGTGGCGGCAGGATCCGGTCAGACCCTGGGAGCCCCCCTATCGTCACCTGGAAAGGGATGGGGCAGATGCCAGGAAGAGGGAAGACAACTGGGCAGACGGCCATCCCCATTCTACAGACGAGGAAACTGAGGCTGTCAGAGCAGAAGGAACTTGCCCGAGGGGGCACTCTGCCTGCATCAGTAGCA